ACACAACGTGGTGCGATCATCCCCCTTGCGCGGAGTGAGGGTTCTCCACCCCGCACAACATGATCTACTCGACCACCAGTATGGTTACCGCCAAAAAAAAACCGGAGGTAGACCAAAAAAAAACCGGTAACCTGGTTGCCGAGCTCACGAAGTGAATTGGCTTGTTTTATAACGTCGTTGCCAAGCGACGATAACCCAACCCCGATGGCAAACACTGGGCGCGGCACGGGGAAAAAAAAAAACACGGCGGGGGACATACACGCGGCAGTGATGAGACTGTTGAGCTCGTCGTCGCTTGGGCGATCTGCCTGCCCGACGCCTCCCCAGGCATCGTCAAAACTACAGCACGCGCCGCCGCCACCCCTAAGGAAGAACCGAACCTCTTGTTTTTGGCCGCGGTCACAGCAGCCTAGATTTCGCAGGGTTTTTCCCTCTAAACAAGGTTGTTTGGATAAAGCACGCAGTCGGGGAATGTTGGGTTAGGGCTTTGGGCTACAGGGACATAAATAATAGGTGGGTCTGCGTACCCCTCCCCCTCCCTGTTCTATTTCCTCATAAACTTAGTTTATCGCGAAGAAGGACTTTTCGCCGAGGCTCGGTTCTTCATTTGTCTATGGGGTACTGTACTCCCACGGCGAAAGTAGTGCAGGCCTCTTGAAGGAAAAACTGTCTCATGCCCAAGTACTTAGGTTTTGGGTCGATTTTAGGCTCAAGTTCTCATCTGCTGCAAGCAGGACCATGGGGCCTGCGTTAAGATTAGACGCTTGACACGCTGCTATACACCGTACTGTATTGTCTCATCAAATACCGACAGTTCTCATCAAATCAAACCGCACACACCAGGAAACCCGTGGGTTTCTTTCTCCTGGCACCGATAGAGGTCAAGACGGTCATATGTCATCCAGCAGCACAAATAAAACCACCTACATTACCAACAAACTGTGGCAGCAATGCAGTCAAACAGCACCCGACGACCACGACCACAAAAACAACAACAGCAGTAAAGACATCCTTCGCCCCTACTGCAGCCGGGTTCCCATACGCAACCCCACCAACAGCAACACGCACAACCACCATGGTCACCACAACGTTAACGACAGCTTACAACATGGAGGTGACCCTCTTTGGCCGCTTTGTCCATGGCCGCCGTCGTGCATCCTTCCGGGCGGTGGGCGTGCAGCCACCGCACCACCTTCGTCGACCACGAAAAGGGAAACAGAGCATTGACACCAACGATTATTATATAGTTGGACTAAATAAGCGAAATCACAAAAGAGAGAATGACACAACGATACAAAGAGCATCGACACCAGCGACTATCAGTTGGACTAAGCAAACGCCATAAAACGTGTGATGAGATACACTGATGAGGCAGTAGGTGCCGAAATGAACATGACACCAACGACTACTTGTTGGACTAAGCGAACGTCATAAAATGTGTGATGAGATAGACTGATGAGGCAGTAGGTGCCGGAATGAACATGACACAAACGACCATTAGTTGGATTGTGAGCAAAATCACAAAATATGTGATGGTATCGACGAATGAGGTGCCACATTCTTCCGTCTGTTCGACAAAGACATTTCTCGTTCCGCGAATCGAGATCCCACCTCCCGTACACCCGGAGTGCATGACACCGACGACTATGTGATGTTTTCGCCAATCGAGATCGCACGCCCAGTCGGCATGACACCAATGCCTTGTCTAAGCGATATAGTCTCTGTGTGGTGGTTTCGAGATCCCACCCCCCGCAAGCCCAGTGTGCATGGTCGGGCAACACGGACCGGCAACGATGATGGTCCCTACGATATGTCCACCGTCTCCTGCAAGTGATGATGGCGCATGAGCAACAACGAACCAACAGCTTGAAAACATGCATATGAATAAAAAGGAACCACCATTCTACGGCAAACGGAAATTTGCGGCCGTGCTTATTGGCCAGTTGGCTAGCGGACGATGCCAATCATGATAACAACCACGACATCCCCCCCCCCTCCCCCCGAGAATGACATGTGCACCTATATACCTTGCGCTGCCCCCGGCGGCACTGCACTGTAAGATTCAGGCTTGCTGGATTCGACAACTGTCGACGGATATAAAAGCCAGCTCCTTTTCGTCGTGTCGACGGATATAAACTCTTCTCGCATTTTATATCAAAGGCAAAGTACCGCAGGAGGGGTGGGTAGGGGAGAACCCTTCTGTGTGACCACGGGTTGTAGTAAACGGCACATGTGCTGTGAGCGCTGGTTTGAAGCGAATTTAAAAAAAGCAAACAATGGTTGTGCTGTCTGCCTTACACAGCAAGAGGCCCCATTGTTGGCATCATGAGGATACCGTAGGTTGCATAATATACTACCCCCCCCCCCACGACCGATTTTCGGAGCTCGATTTCTCGGCAGGAAGAGCATTGACGGTGCCGAAAGGTGGCGGCGTTGGAACCTTTCGTCGAGAGCATTCCGACAACGTGTACTTCGATTTAGGCATCTTCTTCGTGGAGTAATCGAGCTTTGAAAATCGGCCCAGGGGGTGTGTTATCTTGTGTCATGGTATACGGTAACAGTATGGACAAGAACGACAGCATCACCTCGTTTGTGCATCCTCCTCTTCGTCGTGGAATAATCGAGCTTTGGAAATCGATCCAGGGGGTGTGTTATCTTACATCATACAACATACGGCATGAGGACAAACATTGGCGCCGTCTGCAAAACACCTTAAGGTGCCCCCCGGCGGCAGCGTCGTCCATGGCGGTGGTCGTGGCCCCGGCCCATCTGCCCGCGAAGCTGGCGCTAGGGTTCCAGGACCGGGAGCTGCTAAGCCAGGCAACGATCTCCAGGTGACCGTTCTCGGCTGCTCTGCGGATGCAGTCGTAAGCTCTCTCCACCTGTTGAGGTCGTCAACAACCGAAAGAGAGCCATTCTCGATGCTGTTAGAAAGAATCGAAAGGGTTTCACTCTCACTGTAGTTCGTTATAATTATGAGCTCGGCGGCCTTTGCGGGTGCAGTCTTGACTCTCTCCTCTTGTCGAAGTATTTAACAACCGAACGAGAGGCATTCTCAATGCTGTTAGAAACAATGGAGACACCCCTCTTCTACTGTAATAGTGTTTTCGATAACCCTGTCGAGGTGTCACCAAGCAGAAACATTCCCGATGTTGTTCGAAAGAATCTACAGGCTCGATTCTTCTATTGCTTCTTGTAGTTGTTATGTGGCCTTGCGGGTGAAGTCAAAGGCTCTCTCCACCTGTCGACGTCGTTAATAACCGAAGGAGCAGCATTCTCGATGCTGTTAGAAACAATCGAGAGGGTGCACGGCTGTTGCTTTCAGTGCTACTGTTAACAAAACCTGCTTCTTCTTTCAACAGCTTGTTGCAAGTTGTGTTTTCCGAGTCTAGCCTCACGGAGACTGACTACGTATTCTCGTTGTGATACTGTAGGCTCTCTCCACGGGTTTGGTGGTATCAACCAAAGCGGTAAGAAGAACGTTCTCATCAATCTGCCTCTAGATTCAAACCTATTGCGTGGCCGTTAAAAATTGCGTTCCGAATCTAGCCTCACTGAGACTGACGTATTGTCCTTGATCATAGGCTCTCTCCACCTGTTCGGTGGTATGACCAAAGCGGTATCAACCAAAGCAGAGCATTCTCATCATCTACCTAGCTAGAACGAGCATCATTGCATGGCCGAATTGCTTTCCGAGTCTAGCCTCACTGAGACCGGCGTCTTTTCGTTGGACAATCGGTTGGCGCGCCCCATGCCAGCAACAAAGACGCGCATTGGCTCCCTTCCGCCAGCGGCCTTGGGTTTTCCCGGCTGAGTACTGATTCCTTCTCATTCAGCTTTGCGGTGGATGCTAGCAACTCAGCGACGAACCGCCTTCGCGAGGAAACAACGTTACAACGAGAAAATAGACCGGGGACGGGGCACGCAGACCCTCTTCCCTCTATAACCCTAACCCTAACCTAACTTCCCCCGATTGCATGCCTTATCCAACCTGTTTTCTTCACTAAACGAAAAAACCCACGAAGGCTGCTGCTGCAACAACAACAACACACACCTCCGCGCTGCGCTTAGAAGCCAGCCAAACCGCCGTCGAGAAGTGGCCGGCCTCGCAAGCTCGCTCAAGGGCAGCGCGAGAGCACCGCTTGCCCGACCCCGCGCCACTGCCCACCGCCCCCCAGCGGCGCTTCTTATCATGCCCGCCGCAGCGGGGAACGCGCAGCCCGCCGGAGGCGTTATTGGCGGGGGGGGCCGGCTTCGCGTGGCGGTCCAGCCACTCCAAGACCTGTTGGGAATACAAAGCAGGGTAGGTGTGTGTGTGTGTGTGTGTGTGTGTGTCTGTGTGTGTCCATGTTTTGCAACCCCTCTGACCAGGGCATTCACTTGTGTATATAGGGTGCGTAATTTGCGGCATTCTCTTCCGGTTGTGTAATAGTGACGGGCTCTGCGCTTCATGCCCTAGGTGTTAGACCATTGACCAGGCGTCCTTGAGAGGACGGAGCACTATCAATATCGCTCGATCCTTTTTTGTATTTACTTCTTTACCTCGACGTGTCCGGCGGCCGCCGCGGCGTCCTCCACAGCGGCCGTCGTCGTCAGCACCTTCTTCACCCCCCCATCTCCCCCCGCAATTCTTGACGCGGAGCCCCTTGCACTTTCGCCGCCCCGCCGCCTCCGCAGCAGCAGCAGCGGCATCTGTGGCAGTATCCGACATTTCATCCCCACCCCCGCCGACGTTGTCGTCGGTGGGACCTCACTGCCTCTCGGTGCTGGGAGGATGACTCTACCGCTGCCGCTGTCGCAGGGGCGATCTGCTCCGGTTCCAGTCCTTGGTCGGTGGTCATCCGTGGACGGGAAGCTTGCGACGGTATCGTTTCCGTCATCGTCGGGCACTGCTCCCGCCCCCGCAGGTGCTGGCGCCACCGCCGCCGCCGCTGCTACCTCCACCGCTGCAGTGGCATCCTCGGCTTGTTGTCGGGCAGCTTCAACGCGGCTTCCCGCCGCTAATTCCCCTGCTGCTGCTGCTGCTGCCGGCTCTGCCGCTGCCGCTGCCTCGGAGTGTTCTCGAGGAGCATCACCGCGGCCACCTACCGCTACTCCCCCTACTGTTGCGACCGCCGCTGCTGTTCCTCTCTGGCACGCGTCCGAGTCATCCTCGCTACGGGTGGCTCTCTCCTTACCGCCGCGGCCGCCCCATGGGATCATCATCATCCTCAGTTTCCTAATCCTGGTCGGCCATCGCTTTGGTTCCGGCCGCGGTGTTCCCGCTGGCTCGCGGGCTGGGGCTGTGGTAGAGGAGGCGTGTGCCGCGTTGGCAACAGCACCACCGTGACCGCTACCGCCACCGCTACAACCGCCTCCGCCGTTGACGTTGTCGTCGTCGCCGCCACCGACGGCAGGAAGGCAGGAGCCGTGCCCCGGCGCGGCCGCAATCGCTGCACGGTTGGTATCGCCGCCGCTCCTGTTGCCACCATCAGTCATTCCACTGCTGTTGATAGTGGTGGTGCTGCTGCTGCTGTTGGTGCAGCCGCCGCCGCTGCCACCGTTGATGCTGCTACTGCTGCCGCTGTTGGTGCTGCTGTTGCTGTTGGTTCGGCTGCTGCCGCCACCGTCGCTGCTGCTGCTGCTATTGCTGCCGCTGTCGCTGTGACGGATGCTATTAATGCCGCCATCTAAGAGGCGGTCGCGCCGGAAGTCGCGGCGACGGGCCCTCTGCAGGCCCGGGTCATCCGAACACACGCCGTTCTCTCGGAGCCAGTCGAGCACCTTCGTTAGGTAGCCGGGAGAGCGGTCAGATACTGTTACTGTTGTTGTTGTTGTTGTTGTTGTTGTTGTTGTTGTTGTTGTTGTTGTTGTTGTTGTTGTTGCTGCTGCTGCTCTTAATGTTGTTGTTGTTTAGATATTCTCGTCGTTTTTGGTACTTTTGCTGTGACAGAGAGAGAAACGCATTCCGACCTCTGCTCAGCACTCGGTACCTAACCCCAAATTAGCCTTGTCTCTACTGTATTTATCCAGCATCTTTGCTTACTCATAAAAACCTGCGTAGACTGCTGGGACTCTTACCGCAACCGAAACGCACCCGATTCCATGCCTTATCCGGAATGTTTTGCTGAAGTTCCCTAGGAAAACCTGCGTAGACCACTGACCTGGATGTGCCCGCCACGTGCGGCGCGCGCCAGAGCCGAGCGCGGATACTCCAGCAGGCACCCGCACGCCTCTCTGTCTTCTCCTTCCAAGCGGGGGTAATGTGAGGCACCCCCCCCCTCGGCTTCTTCAGCTTGTGCGACGTCTTCTTCGTTCTGCAGCTGCAGCTGCTGCTGCTGGGTCNGGGGGGGGGGGGGGGGGGGGGGGGGGGGGGGGGGGGGGGGGGGGGGAGAGAGAGAGAGAGAGAGAGAGAGAGAGAGAGAGAGAAAGGTGAATGCCAGAACAAGAGCGAGACGTCTCGTGCGACACAGGACGGCTGCGACAAAGCATGCAAGATTTCGGTTGGTGAATGAATGGGTGCGTGTATGGCACATGTTCTGCGTAATCTTGTTTGCGTGCAAGGCCTGCCTAGTCCAAAAGAAGCGAAAAATGTAAAGAAAAGCGTAAGAAAGGCGACAGACAGATGGGGCCCCGCAACAACGACATTGACAGTTCGGGCGGCAAATTGGGGCGGGTTGAGGATCTGCCGTCTTTTTTGTCGGGCCGCGCCAAGACAAGGGGGGCAAACACAACCGCAAGAGCTTGTAGAACTTACGATCGACATGTGGCGGGGCAAGATACAGTAGTACGGTCGATGCCGTAGGTTGCATAAGATATCACACCCCCCGGACGAAAGCTCGGTTGCTCCACGACGAAGCGGATGTGTTGTTCATACGACACGTCTCGGAAAGCTCTCGACGAGACGGCGGCCTCAACGCCGCCATTTTCGGCACCGTCACTGCTGTTTTTCCTGTGGAGATATCGAGCTCGAAAATCGGTCCAGGGGTGTGTGATATCTCATGTCATGCAACCTACGGTACTTAGAGAAGGCGTGCTGTCTAGCGCCATGTGGTAGTAAGTACCGTGCCAAGAGTAGCGTGGTCGTCGGGTCTTGCCGGACGAAATCTCGCAAAAAAAAAAAAACAAGGGAGAACACGAAAAAACACAAACAGCGAAAACAAACAGCACGAAGAGGAGATTGCCTGCTTCATCGCCCACCCGCGTGCATGCACAGCGGTATCCAGCGGCAGCGAATGGCAGAGAGCCTCTCGTTCGGGGGCTCGTACACGTTGCCCGCCGGAAACAAAAAAAAAAACGTCAAGAACATGTCGAGGGGAGGCTGATTTTTCATGTTTCGTCGCCACCGTTGAGCACAGTATAGTCATGTTGTATTTCGATCATCTTTGTAAGATACACCGCTGGCCTTAATATACCTGCTTTTCTTACCCCGGCTTTTCTTCTTTCTTGCCACCACAATCTGAGGCTAGCTTTTCTTCAGAGGATTTTCTTGTTGTTGCTGTCTTAACAAAAAAAAAACGGTCCGATCTCTCGATCCAATACCTCCCTTTATCCGTATTCCTCTTCCACTTGACGCGGTCGAATCCCTTTGTCACAGGAGGCTAACGTACCCCAAATGTACCCAAAGAATATCTTCTTGACTCTGTGCGGACGCCACCTCCAACTCTGCCCGTACCTCGAGAACATCCACTCGACCGGCCGCCGCCGCCTCGGAAACCCACTCCCTCGCAGATAGCCCCCTCAGCCCCGGCGGGAGCGCCCTCTGCAGGGCCCCCAGCACCCGATGCTGCCCCGGCACGTCATCGTCACCACGGCGGGGAAGAGGAGCCCCGCTGCTAGCAGGGGCGGAGGCGGCGGCGGCGGCGGCGGCGGTGGTAGTGGCTGCGGCAGTCGCTCTCTCGGTAGGGAGAGAAGCATTGGCACCACCACTACCGCCAGCGGCAGCAGTGGCGATGGCGGCGGTGGCGGCCGTAGCCCTGTCCACGCCATCGGCCGAGGGCGGTGTCCTTGCGAGCCGCCCGGGAGTGGCAGCGGACGCGGCGGCGGCGGCGGCGCCTAAGGCCCGCCAGACGTCATTCTCGGCGCGATTGGCCAGCTGCTCGGTGTGTTGGGGGGTGCAACGAGGGGATGGTCATGTAAACGCATGCCGCGGTCGTTGGACCATTGACCATGCATCACCTCTGCAATGCCGGGAAGGAGCGACATGTATGTCGCGTTTTCGCCGGCCCGGTCTGCGTGGCCATGGGGCGGGAATGGATTACTGATGTTTGGCATGCCTTGCATAACTGTTACAGCAGACCGTTGACCACGCGTCTGGAGAGGACGGAGCCTTGTTCCGACGGGACCAATCACCGATGGCTAGTTGTCCCTCCTACACTGCGCCAAAGGCAGCTTTAACGTTTCCTCCATATCCTGTCGAAACCACTTCTCGACGCAGAGACCACTGCTTATTCCCCAACTGTTGCCCCCAAGTTAAGAGTCTGTCTTCTCATGGCTGTTCCGTGCCTCAAACTTCCTTCTGCAGCTTCCTTTCGTTTCCCCCCCAGCATATTTTCTGTCTCCCTTTTCATAACACGGACGTTCCGCGATCATATGGACCTGACCTTCAGACGCAGACCCGCGTTCATGATTGAAACTTGTCTCATGGGGTGTGGGGGGTACTTTCGGCATCAAAACCCCACTGCTCTGTGGCAAAAATAGACACCACCAGGAGACCACAGACGCAGCGGCAAACAAAAAGAGCAGAACACGCTCCCAACCTTCACGATACTTCTTGGGAAAGAACTCCAGTTGCCTCACCAGCCATTCGACGACGTCGCCGTGTCCGTTAGCGACAGCCTGCAGCAGCCCCTCGCTCGTTCCTCCCTCGAGCCGGTGGTGGTGGAGCCACCTGACATCCCATCCCATCCCATCCCATACCAACAACCCGTACCACACAAACCAGCCGGCGCTTCGGTTATCCTTCCAGCGAAGTATGCATAAACCAACACAAACAAGAGATACTAGTCTGGGTTGTCTCTATCCTGTACTGATCGGACCGGTTTCCGTGGTCACAGGCTAACGTTCCCCCCCCAAAAGGTGCAGTAAAATAGAACGGACCCGACTGCAACCTATTTTGTCGTCCGTCACCGCCGTACCTGACCACGTCCAGGTACCCTTTCGAAGCCGCGCCGTCCATCGCGGCGGGCGTGAACGTCAGGGGCTCCGCGAAATCATCGTCCCCGGCGTCGCTGCTGCTGGAGCAGCAGCCCTTGGTCGCCTACGCCGAAAACGCGGCGACAAGAGCGAAAAGTAAGAGTTGAGAGAAGGTGTTGGCGGGCACGCAGTTTCGAAAAACTCAACATATTCAACATACTGAGGGCCCAGAAAAACTGACGTCTTGTCTCGCTCTTAAAACCATGGCACCAAGTTTGACCATGTCACGCTGGCGTGTTTTCCCCGTCGTCCCCAGGAGAATGTTCGATCCTTCCGGACGTACTCACGTCGTGTTCTCCCGTGGCATGCTCACATGCACTTCTGCTCTCCACTACTTTCACCACCTGCGAAACATTGGGCCCTAGACAAAACATTCGAAACACTGCACGTGATCCGTCCCGATTGGGCTCGCGAGACAGCGTGGTGTCTTGAAGAGATGGTGCAAGACGGCAGTACCAAGACAGGGCCAGGTGTGGCATTTCTCAACATTTCTCAAGTCCAAAACAACGTCCACAGCTCACGTGTTTCGACTCGAAGAGCCAGCCCGGTGATCCTCAACAAGCCCAAAAAGAAAACGTAGCGCAACATGCAAGGATGAAGAGGGGGCTGAATGGCGTGTAAACGGCATCGCTAACCTCCCCTTCCCCCCCTTTGGGAACGACAAAATCCCGCCCCATCTACCTGCATCTTGATAAGCTCCAGGTGGCCAAGGCGGGAGGCGCGGTCTCCGTCTCCGTAGTCCGTTCCAGCTATCCCATCCTATGGACGAAACGCAACAACGGCGCAGAAACACGGTTTGATTTGTCGTATCTAGCAGTGGAAGTCGTTTTGTTTTGTATGGCGTATGACGTGGTACAGAGTAACAACAACAACAACACAACAATAGGCCTTTGCTCCATCGGCCGTTTTCTTTGTATGACGAAGAATAAAAAGGTGAAATTAGTTGAAATTAGTATGGAAATAAAGTTTGTGTATCTAAATCGAAGATGAAACGGCCGATGGAGCAAAGGCCTAAACAACAACAACAACAACAACAACAACAACAACAACAACAAAAACAACAACACCATCAGCACCACACGGACCTGGAAAGACAAGACGGTACCCCAGAGAGAATTCTGGACGACGGCTTCCATCGCGTACGGTCGAGGCGTCGTCGTCGCTGCCGAGGGGGGGACAGATCCACAAATCGCCGCTCCCGCTTCCCCTCCTCCAGAGCAGCAGCCGGCGACGGCGTGCGGTTGGCTTCTGATCCCGGGCTTAAGAGCGGCGTCTTGCATCCCAGCGGGTGGCCTTCCTTCGCCCCGGGNGGGGGGGGGGGGGGGGGGGGGGGGGGGGGGGGGGGGGGGGGGGGGGGGGGGGTAGGATTGTGAAATTGAAAGGTCAGTCTGGTCTCAAAGTGACGTCTTGCATCCAGCGGCCTTCGCAGAGATTTTCTACAAAGTACGCATGTTGGAGAAAGCATGCAATCGGGGAAGTTGGGCCAGGTTTAGGGTTAGGGAATGGGGTCTGCGTACCCCCCCCCGTCCCCGGTGTCTCGAAAATGTTTTCCCGTACCCTTATGTATCTATGCTATCGACATTACTTCGCGCCTTTTTCATCCCGCTTGTGCGAAGTCTCAAACTCGCTACAATATACACGACAGTTGCACATGTACTTGCCAATGCCACCCGTCTTTCGCCAGTTTTGATTACTTTTCCGTGGGCATGGCGGGGGTTGAAGGCTCTCAAAGTGAAAGCACTACTCGGGGGGGAGACGGGTAGGAGGCTATCGTCTTGAACATTTTATCGCGGGGGGGGAAGGGGGGGCGTTCGAGACTCTCAACCTGAATTCTTATCGATCCCGATCTTCGGGCAGTGGAAAACGTGATACTCTAATGCTAATGTTGGTTGTTGTCTGGCGGCGCGGGGAAGGGAGGGGGGGCGCTCGAGTTAGAAGTTGGAGGGACTCGTAGATGGTGCCTTCTTCTCGAAAAAAAAATATATATATCCGAGAAGAGTGAGTTTTTCGTCTCGCGCCGCACCCAACCGTTCACGCTAAAAATTGCTGTCTCCCACGACTACACTGTTGCGTTGGCTTTGCCTATCACGTTAAAGTCATATCTGCCAGTGTTCTTCACCCTAATCACGCTGCCCACTGAAGAAGAAAAAACAGGGTAGACGGATCCAATCGCCACCAAAACCGCAGGCATATAGAGCGCGCTACCTTTCTCATCAAGAATCTCGATTTTCTGGAAGTATGCATGGTTTCACAGACGCTCGTTCTCGTTTTGTGAATGGGGTATCCTCCCGGCGACTACTTAGCTAAACAGGTTTATTGTGACTATATCGGGTTTAGGCATTTTGACTGAGCATCTGTTCCGATGGCTACGTTCTTTGCTCTATGGAATGTTTTAGGCTCAAGTTGAATTCGAAAGCGGAGGCGCGTTCTGTGTGTGAGAGAGAATGTTACCTATATAGCGGGGTTGCAGAGATACCGCAAGAAGAGTCGGACAGATGGCACCCCCGTGTTAGCATTTTATTGTAGCGTATTTCTCCACAACTAGGAGGGTGCGAACACCAACCGATACCT